CTGCTGCTGCTGCTTCTGCGGGGGAGCTGCAGCACGAACCCCGAAAGAGCCGCAGCGGGCAGCAAGCAGCAAAAAGCAAAATGCAAAATCAAAGAGGAGATTTTGAGCTGCCCATCCGGAAGTCTGTGAGCGAGAAGACAGAGCCAGAGACCCTTCGCCTCCACCAGCAGCAGCAGCAGCAGCAGCAGCAGCAGCAGCAGCAGGGGGGAGGAGGGGAGCAAGGGTCTGCTGCGCTGGAAACGCCCACCAGCTGCGACATCAGTCGAGTGCTGGCGAGCGTTTTGGGGGTTTTGCGGTCTTTGCTGTCTCGTGGGGAGCAGCCAATTAGGGTTTAGGGTTTAGGGTTTGGGGTTTAGGGTTTGGGGTTTAGGGTTTGGGCTTTGGGGCGCCGCAGCAGCGCGCGCGGCCGCAGCAAAGAGCTGCAGCAACAGATGCTGCAGCAGAGCAGCAGCAGCTGCTGGGAGGCGCAGCAGCAACAGACGCAGCAGACACAAAAAGAAAGCAGCAGCAAAAAGAGCAAAGCAAAGACACAAAGAAAGAGAAAAAAGAAGCCTCAGCAGCAAAACTTAGCCAGCAGCAAATCATTGTAGAGACTCCACGCCTCTCCCGGCGCCACCCCACACCTATAGTGCAGCAGCAGCAGCAGCAGCAGCAGCCACAGCAGCAGCGCTGATAGCAGCACAAGCAGCAGCAGCAAACGTGAAGCGCGCGCGCGGCAACGGTAGCAACGAGCTCGCCGCAGCTAGCCATAGCTAGACACAGCTAGCCACAGCTAAATAAATAATAAATAATAAATAATAAACAATAAATAATAAACGATAAATAGATAGCTTTTAACTTTAAAAAAACTAAATAAATAAATAGCATTTAGGCTTATTTAGGAAGCCCTCAAACTAGCTGCTGCTAGCTGCAGCCAGCCTGCTGCAGCTAGCTGCTGCAGCAGTGGCTCTTCGCGTGGCCTCCCCGCTGTCTGTGGGCACAGCTGCTGGCTAGCTAGCTAGCTAGCTAGCTAGCTAGCTAGCCGGCTAGTTAGCTGGCTAGCTGCACTAGTTAGCTACGGCCACTCAGCTACACAGAAAGCAGTCCGTGCAAAGGGAGCAGCAGCTCCTGCAGCAGCAGCAGCAGCAAGACTGGCTGG